TATTATTCTTTATTTCAGTCAGTGTATGCTTAGTTTCTAATTGGTCATTTTTCATATCCTTGAGGGTCTCACTAAATTTCTCGGAGATTTCTAGAAGATTCTTGAGGAACCGTATAACCATGGTTGTGAACTCTATATCTAGTAGATTGCCTTTCTCCATTTCTTTCGTTTGTGACATGTTTCTTTGTCTCCGCATTTTGGCTGTGTTGATAGAGTGGCTTTATGTGCTAGGTGTCCTATAGGGTCCAGTGGCTCAGCCTCCCCAAGTCCCTGAGGTGGACACTCTTGGTGTACCCCTTTGTGGGCTGTGTGCACAGTCTTGTTGTAGTTAAGCCTTGATTGCTGTTGGTATCACTGGGAGGAATTGACCTCCAGACCAATTGGCTGTGAGGATCAGTTTTGTCTACAATGGGAGAACTGCTGTGCTGGGAACACCCTTATATGGGGCAGGACTTGCTTCAGTGGGGCTTTGGTGCTCACTGAGTCTGCCCCCTGAGTGTGTCTCTTATGGATGTGAAGAGTTGTAATCTGGTATGGTCTCACTTTGACCACTGGGTACACTGGCTCTAGGATCTCCAAGGAGGTGCAAAGTCAGCCACTGGCTGAGGCCACCCAGCAGGATCTACAGAGAGATCTGAAGATTCCTCCTCTTTGTTTGGGGTTTGGAGGTGCCCACATGAGGCACAGCTGTGAAGCAATGCATGTTGCTGACGAGCCTTAGGCCTTCTTTTGGAAGCTCTGGGGTCCTTTAACCCAGTTGCAGTTTGTTAGGTTAGGTTGCAAAAGGCCAGACCATTCATATGCAAAAGCTTCTGCACACAGCTTGGGTGGGGTTGTAAGTTGGGTGGGGCGTGGTCTCAGGGAATCATGAGGCGGTGCAAACAGCAATGGTTTCCGGTCGGCCCTGCCCTGGATAGGTCCCCGGGTCTCTGTGTCCCATGGCCCCGTGAAGGAACAATGAACTCTGCAAGCACCTCTGAGAGAAAGCTGCCCTCATGTTCCAGCCCAATGCCAGACAGTCCAGTTTCTCCCCATATGAGTCTGGGTCCCCAGAGTCACCTGGTACTGGAGTTCAGAACAGTCTGGAGTTTGTATCTCCCTCCCACTTGAAAAAGACCACATCGTACCCAGTTGCCAGCCCGTACCTATGCTCTTCCACACCTCTGCACCTCCTACCAGTCTAGATGTGCTTTTTGTTATGGGTTCAATCAGCAAGATAGACCACCGACTCAGAATTTAAATTTAGGAGCCTTTATTAAGCTGGCCAGCTCACTATAGCGGCATCCCTTCCCCTCTGGGAGCCTTGCAGCTTGTAGTGCAGACTAAGGGTCCTGTAAGGCTTTTATTGGCGAGAACTACAAAGCATCTAATGGCAGGGTTAAAAGTTCAGTAGGAAAACAGGGTCACACCTGGCTGGAGCATATCATAACACTTTGTTTAAGAAAACTAGTAATTTTTCTCTGCCACGGTCCCTGACCCTAACACAATCGGTAACCTTTCCATGCTTCAGTCCCTCCCTCTAGCATATTCCGTAACCTTTCCATGCCGCAGTCCCTCCCTCTAGCACATTCCCTACTGGTCTTATGCCCGAATCAAATCTTTGATTCAGTGCCCTCCTCTATGATATGAAATTCAGGAGGAATTTGGCAATGTAGGGGTTGAGCCACCGGGGAACAGTTCCGCATTTGATGGTGAAGAATTGGCCAGGGTCTCGGCCGCTGATGTAGAGTTTTAGTTCCCATGTCTTTCTCCTTCCTATTGGTCAGTCCACCAGGCGAGAGGCATGAGGAGGAGGACGGAGTTACAATTTCCAGTGCCTCTTTCCTGCGACTTTGATGGTGGTTGGAGTGCTCAGCACCACCTGGTAGGGTCCATCCCATCTAGGTTCCAGGCTGCTAGGGTTGTGGCGCTTCACCCAGACGAGATCAACCGGAGAGAAGGCAGGCTGTGTTGGACTGGATCTCAGCATGTCCTCCTCCTGTATGGCTCTCACCACCCATTGTGCTGGTATAGTGGTAGGCTAAACCAGGGGACAATTTCAGTGAGGAGTTTCCTAACTACTACCTGTGCTGTCTGTGCCTTGGTTGGGTATGCCTCAGGCCAGTTAGAGAAGGTATCAATGAAAATCAGCAAGTATTTATACCCTCCTTGTCTTCCTGGTATCTCGGTGAAGTCCACTTCCCATTGTTCTCTGGGGTTCTGACCTCGGAATCACTGTCCCGGCGCAGCCACAACAGGGGGCCCTTGATTTACCCGGGCACACACTTGGCACCTTCTAACCAAGTCTTGGGATATTTTCTGGAGCCCTGGGATGTAAAATTCTCTTCCCAGTAGTTCTGATAGTTTCATTTCCCCCAGGTGGGTACTCTGGTGGGTCTGGGAAGCGATGGTCTGCCCCAGTGCTTCTGGCACTATAGGCCTCCCGTCTGGAAGAATTAGCCATCTAGCCTCTCCTTCCCAGGCCCTTAGTTTCTCAGCTAGCCTCTGTTCTTCTGGCAGATGAGTAGGCTTCTCTGGGAGCCTTCGTGCTGGCAGGGCTACGAGAACTTCTAGGGGCCCTACTCGTCTTTTAGCCACTTCCTTGACTCCTATGTGGCTGCCAGGAGGTTGAGTATCTCAGGAGCATTTTTAATGTCCTTTCCTCCTGAGGTTAGGAGTCCTCTTTAAGGTGGCTCCCGTGTCCTTCTGTAAGGGCAGTGTGAGGAGATATATCCCTGCAGTCCCTGGGTAGGTCTGGCAGGACGAGTGCCAGGGCGCTCACCAGGGCTTCTTTCTAATCCTGGCAGATTGTAGATCTCCCCTGGCTCCTCCTTATGTCACTACTGCCGCCCCCGCATACCGGGTACCTTCCTCTACGAAGCTGCTTGTGTCTGTCCGTGTAGAGCGTCTTATCCGGATTCTGTAGGGGCTGGTCCACAAGGTCCTCGCGGAGGGAAGTGAGGGTAGTCAGTGTCTCCTCGCAGTCAGGCAAAGGGGCCTCTG